CAGTTAGACAGGTGTACCTAATAAAGTGGCCGGTGAGTGTATATATATGAGGAAAAATATATAATTTATAAATAACAATGATCTAAACCAGACCTGAAGTCATGCCCTAACTTAGATTTAAGCTAGTTGAAAAATTATAACGTTGAGTCATAAAGTCTATTATTTCTGACTATCAAACATAATATTTATAAATATTTACTAGTAAACACTTAGAAAACTGTTTCTGTATACCTAGTTATAGGACGAAAATATTAGCTAACCATCTTCTCATCAGGTCAGGTTCCTCTATAAAAAATATTTGTTTACACTGTAAATATTGCCTAAATCAGTTTACATTATTTAATCATTTGTGTTAAATTGTAGCATGACTCAGCAGTGCTACACTCATGTATGCTACACCAGCTAATAGTCCTGCTAACCAGTTAAATGATTAAATCTGCTTTGAGCTYATTTTCAGATCACAAGCTAAACAAGATCAAATTTGCTTGTGTTGTGAAATTAGATGCTTTCCTGTTTATATTCTGTTGGTACATCCATAACACAGCTATTTTTTTTTAAAACAGATTACATTATACGCACATGTGAATTTTCTCAAGTTTTTATGACTGTCTTTTTTCTGCTAGGTTATGTACAGTAATTGTAAATCCAGACTCCTGCCCATAATGCTGAGCCTCTACAGTAGGTCACGTGGTTTCCACTCCAGCTGTTCCTAACATACACCTCCATGTTTTAATCACATGGAACTTCTCCAGTAATGCAGCTCTGCAGAAAGACTGCCGGYAGTTCTATATTAAACACGATCAGCAAATACATTAGTGCTACAGCACTACAAATGTTAGCATAACTTCTTTAAAATTCAAAGTCTTTAAACTTGTTTTGGAATTAGCTCCAAACACTGTTCAGTTTGTTAAATTATCAGTCCTTTAGTTTTGGTTATTCGTCTCAAGCCCTCTTTTTGCATTACTAGATTTGCCAGTCATTTCATCCTTTAGTGTTTAGTATCAGACTGCATGGTATGAAGTTACCCTTTTCTCTGGTGCCTGACAGGGAGGCTTTATAACACGCTTTGAAGACAGACCTGGAGGGTTGAGCGAAACAAGYCTGCTTCTGGACACTTCTAGCATTGGCTGGTTGCATCCTCAGCTGCTTGTTGTGGAGAACCATTACTCCACCACTGCCATCTGCTGGTTACAACTGCATATAGCATCAGCTGAAGCTCATTTTAAATCCACATTATTTCAGAGTAAAAGCTRTACTTGCTACACTATTGTCCAGCATTAACTTACACCTGTTCTCATGTTCATAGCACAATAATAATAAAAGGACAATCTGAATGATTTAGAATTTTATTCAGACACAAACACACACATTGTGACACCTTAACAGGAAAAGCTGACAAGACATGRACAATAAGCTTAGGCCAGCTCCTCCTCACCTTCTTCCTCAAACTCTCCCTCCTCCTCAGCAGTGGCGTCCTGGTACTGYTGGTACTCTGACACCAGGTCGTTCATGTTGCTCTCAGCCTCCGTGAACTCCATCTCATCCATACCCTCTCCGGTGTACCAGTGGAGGAAAGCCTTGCGCCTGAACATGGCCGTGAACTGCTCTGAGATGCGCTTGAACAGCTCCTGGATGGCCGTGCTGTTGCCGATGAAGGTGGCGGCCATCTTGAGGCCTCGTGGAGGAATGTCGCAGACGGCGGTCTTGACGTTGTTGGGGATCCACTCCACGAAGTAGCTGCTGTTCTTGTTCTGCACGTTCAGCATCTGCTCGTCCACCTCCTTCATGGACATGCGSCCGCGGAAGATGGCGGCCACGGTCAGGTAGCGGCCGTGGCGCGGGTCACAGGCGGCCATCATGTTCTTGGCGTCGAACATCTGCTGGGTGAGCTCGGGGACKGTGAGCGACCTGTACTGCTGGCTGCCTCTGCTCGTGAGGGGAGCGAAGCCCGGCATGAAGAAGTGCAGACGGGGGAACGGCACCATGTTGACCGCCAGCTTGCGCAGGTCGGCGTTGAGCTGCCCGGGGAACCTGAGGCAGGTCGTGACGCCGCTCATCGTTGCAGAAACCAGGTGGTTGAGGTCACCGTAGGAGGGAGTTGTGAGTTTGAGTGTGCGGAAGCAGATGTCGTAGAGGGCCTCATTGTCAATGCAGTACGTCTCGTCTGTGTTTTCTACGAGCTGATGGACTGACAGCGTGGCGTTGTAGGGCTCTACCACAGTATCTGACACTTTAGGAGAGGGAACCACACTAAAGGTGTTCATAATGCGGTCGGGGTACTCTTCACGAATCTTGCTAATCAGCAGGGTGCCCATCCCAGACCCTGTACCACCACCGAGGGAATGTGTAAGCTGGAAACCCTGCAGGCAGTCGCAGCTTTCTGCCTCTTTCCTCACCACATCCAGGACAGAGTCTACCAGCTCTGCACCCTCTGTGTAGTGGCCTTTGGCCCAGTTGTTGCCAGCACCACTCTGACCTGCAAATTACAAATAGACTTTAAAAAAGGGTCACTTTTCCAGGCAGCATCTACCGTAGTGCACTAATTTACTCATTAAAACCTACCAAAAACAAAGTTATCTGGTCTGAAGACCTGCCCAAAAGGTCCAGACCTCACAGAGTCCATGGTGCCAGGCTCCAGATCCACAAGCACGGCACGGGGGACATATTTACCACCTATACAGGATATAAAATACTGTTGTTACACAAAATCCAAATGAGAAGATCATAATACATAAACATACACACCTGAAGCTTCATTATAATAAACGTTGATCCTGTCCAGCTGGAGGTCACTGTCACCATGGTAGGTACCAGTTGGGTCAATGCCATGCTCATCACTGATAACCTCCCAGAACTAAGAGAACACAAAACAAGTTTTTAAAATCAAGCTGTATAAATTCCTCTGCAGGCACCATCCTAACTGCTGAAGTCTGATCAGATTGTTGATGAATTATAGCGGTGACTGAATCAAAGCTGAACACAGAATGGGATTTGTCATGCATTTGCAATAATGAGCCGATTTCAGTAGATTGCAGCATACTGGGTGCTCATGAAAGCATTTGAGCTTTTATTTATTTTTTTAAGAAAATGGCCGGTTTTCCCGCCGCAACGTGGTTAAGCCGCGCGCGGCCTCGAAGCTCATTGGCTGCCAGATTTCTGAATTTTAAACTTCCTCCTACGTCACTAACCGCCCCTACAGGAAAGAGCCGGGGCGGGCGGTGCTTAAGCTTTACAACAAGGCCTCTACCAGCCGGCATAATGCCTGTTCCTTACCACAAGAAAAAAAAAAAGTGTATATATATAAAATACACAAAAATATATATAAAGAAAACTTCAACTTAGCTTGACGAATCCGTTTTTTAAGCTTCACATTATCCGCTTTTATCCACCAAGTAATCGTTAAGGTTACTTCTGCTTTTCTTATTTGCAAAGAAATAACCTAAAGAACAGGATCACCTAAACTAATCTTTGACATAATCACTACCAGTCATTTCATTAGTAAAGTGTATGAAAAACATACGGATTTTAATACAGCTTTAGCTTACAAAAATATTTTAAAATTGTTTAATTTGTCTAACAAAATTATAATATACTACTCACATGATATATTATAATTAATGATTAGCTTTCCAGGAGTGCTCAACGTAATTTTCTTTTAAGTAAGGCATGACGTTATTCCTAGGGTGTGGTTGCTTGAGCTCACAGAGCACAAAGAASCGGCGTTCAATGAGAAAATGTCAGGATTTCCTGCCTAAAATGTATTAAAAACCATCCAAAGTGTTAGCAGATGTACTTACCTTGGCACCAATCTGGTTACCACACTGGCCGGCTTGAAGATGCACAATTTCCCTCATTTTGCTGGATGAACGGTGCGAGACGTCTGCTCAAATGTAGATTTTCCTGTAAAATGCGACGTCTGAAAGGCAACTCTCCGCTTTATAGCGTGATGACCCGCCCCCTAGGCAGAAACTCGATCGCCTATTGGCTATGTGATACACGCGTTTTTTACTGACACACATGCCAGCTAATAGAAAGCTTCAGTGCTTCCCCGCCATTGGCTGAACGCGGCTGGTAATAATTTTCGTCGTAAACGTGAAAACGAAGACGTGGGCCTCCTTGTGATGGCGGAACGGAAATGCGGCAGAGGGTGTAGCGTGTCACCCGGTCTCAGCCGCGCTGTAGCACAAACCAGATAAATCGAAACGTTCATTTAGGTGATTAAGTAATGACATGTTGTGTTAAATAAAGAATGGTCCCAAGACGTGGATTTTACCGACACTCAACGTGGATGACAGATTAAACAGGGATGACAGATTAAACAGTAGAACAGGACTGCATTAAATGGCCACCAGTGATTTTTCAGTCATGTTTATGAGGCTTTCAGCTACACAGACTTACCATTCATTTGTGCACAGGGTCTGATCTAGAAGCTCATTTGCAATAATCTGATTTCACAGGATAATGCAATAATCTGGAGAGAGATGCCAAAAAATAACGTTTTTCATTTTTAAATACAATGATTTTCCAACATGCAATTTTATAATTCAGTCAATATTGAGTTATTTGTTTTTATATCAAACATTTATGAACTTACTGTAATTTTATGTTTGAACAGTAGTTCTGTTCTGTTTAATTACCTGCTGCTAAAGGTGGAACAATGCTTTGCCATTATGTGTGTTTGAATGATCATCTGTCTGTGTTGTAAGGATAACATTTGATCAATTAGGTACTGTAGCTACTGGATGGATGTTAATGGAAATTGATCAAGTGTGTACTAGTCAACATGGTTCAARATGGCCATCACAGCAAAGTGAATTCAGTTTAAAAGCTGTTTTATTGTTTATTTAARAGTTCATCAAACTGAGTAAGATGAGTTGATGTGGAGCCCTACAAATTAAATGTTTGACGCATGCCTCCCTTTTATACTTTTAAAGCACTCATCTATCTATCTATCTATCTATCTATCTATCTATCTATCTATCTATCTATCTATCTATCTATCTATCTA